CTTTTCATCTTTTCATCTTTTCAAACACAGAAATGTCATAATTATTTTCTAGAAAATTTCTGAGAATAATCTCAGAATTTCAAAAGTTTTTCTAGCAAATTTTGGACTTTTCAAGCTCAGAAAGGCCCTTGATTTTTCTGGAAAATTTCCACATATCTATATGTTTTTTCTAGCACATTTTATCTTCCAAACTCAGAAATTTTCTTGTATTTTTTTTATAGAAGGTTTATAAAAATAATCTCAAAACTTCTACATTTTTTCTAACAGATTTTTTACTTTTTAAGCTCAGACATTTCATTGTCTGGGTTTAATAATAATAATAAGTTCTAATCAGTTCCTTTTTTGCTTTCTTTTTAGAAAATTTCTGAAATCAATCTCAAACTTTGATTTTTTTCCCCCATCAAATGTTCAAATTTGGTGGAATGTACTCCACCTTTTTTAATCTAAAATTACAGGGTGGAGGTGAGTCTATTATTTAGTCAGGCCTTTGTTACAATAGAACAGGAAAGGTTAGGTTTCTTGTACGACCAATCAAAACAGTGAATATGTGGGTAGTTGTGTGTCATCATGACTCACTGAGTCATTCTACTAGTAGTGTTTTGACATTCTGACAAAATGTTTATGTGAAGGACATAAACAGAAAATACGGTAAGTGATTGACATAAATGTTTATTCCTAGAAGTGGACTTTATATATATATATATATATATATATATATATATATATATATATATATATATATATATATATATATATATATATATATATATATGTGTGTGTGTGTGTGTGTGTGTGTGTATATGAAATTGAGAACATTTAAGTTCCTTTGAAGCTCATGGTTTTTGTAGCTCCAGCGCGCCCCCTTGTGTCACTTCTTTTGTCTGCAAGCTACATCTTCCACAGAACTTGTATGGAAAGAGGACAAAGACTTAAAAAATGTCAAAAATCATCAAATACTTTCTGTTGCGTTTTCACATTTGGCAGTCTAACCTAGTTCTAAAGCACACAGCAGAAATGTTCATCCATCCACTGACTTTCCCTGATCAGAGATTTGGTTACAACCTTCACTGCTTTCTGTCTTATACAAAGATAGTTAAATAAAATCACACACTGAATTAAAATCTTACCTCTTCTTTCTCTGTCTCTCTCTCCTTCATGGCGAGAAGGTTAGTCATGGCCCTTTGCTCTCATCTTCAGTTGCTTGGTGTGATGACAGTTTTCTTCCCCTCCTGAATGCATCAAAAACTAAAGAAATAATTATTGATTTAAGGCAGAACCATAGTAAGCCAAAACCCAGCATCACATATTGTAAAGAAGTAGAAATTGATTGAGACAAAATCTTTTCAGACTTCTGTTGTTTTCTCTTACTTGCTGGGAAAGCAACCTTTCTGTAGCAGTCTGAACCACATAAGTAAAGTATGCTCAATAATAACAATAATAATAAAAAAAAATCTAAATTTCTTATTTTATCTGTGATTCAGCTTAAACAAAATATGTAGTACTGCCCACATACAGTGATTGGGTAGATGTTATTTATACAGTGTTTTTGTCTGTTTGTCCCTTCCCACACTTGGCTCTAAGCTAACTGCTATTTTTACTACAAATAGCAATAGATTAGGAAGTAAAGTTGTCTGGAGCTTTAATAAAAAATAAATAATAAAAAATAGTAAAACGAACAAATTAGTTTCAAGTATATTGTGTTCCATGCTTGTAAAGATGACTGGAATCAATAAAGGTTTCCAAAGAAAAAAAAGTGAGATATAAATATGCGTCATACGAGTCGTGTCAATTCAATTCAAAAATATATATAAAAAATATGTGTCGCTATACATCTTGTTACATGTATAGGGTTTGCAGCAAAGACGTGAAAATCACTGCAGTATTCAGCGAGTTATTTACGCTGAGTCGAGTGGGAGACCTTTCCAAGATGGCGGCCTCCCGCAAGTACATGCGGCGTCTACTCAAACATGTCTATGTTCTGATCTATCAGCAGACCAGAACGGGTTTTTCCAGCGGTATGGCAGGCCATTGTATCATAAAATCGGTTTCCTCTGACTTTGTAGATATCGAAACCAAATTGTCAGAAAATGCCAAAGTAGAGAGAGTTCAGCGGTATAGAAATCGCAAAAATTAACGGACTTTTAAGATTGCTTCAGAAATCTCCAAATAATTTTCTACTTATTCCAACAAACACAATGTATTTAAAAACGGCTCTGGAAAGCTAAAAGTGCTGCTGTCATCTCTTTCCCAAGCTGAAAATGGTGCCTTGTAAAAAATCTTTATTCATTAAAAAAATAAAATAAAGAAAGTTCATTGTTTCATTGTAATTTCAATGAGATTTTGACTGGATGGCTATGCAAATTCAAACTATCAGTATGTCTCTCTGACTGTTCAGAATGTTAATGCAGGATATCTGAAATAAAAAAAAAACGTAATTGAAGATGTCTGTAATTGATTTTAAAATAAATTTTGACTAGTTAAAATTGCAGGTCTACATATCTTTAATTTAGTTTTGTCTAGTCGCTATTTGCTTTCAAGCTATCTGCAATATTAGTCAAATCCATAATCTCTTATATAAAACCTTTAAGATATCTTGAATTATGGAGTCATTCAATACATTCTTACTTAGAATCATAACTAGTACAAAATAAAAGTGAGATATATTTTATTTACTTTATGCCTAGTCACAATTTTAGTTGAAATATATGTATCAAATGGTGAAATATCTTGAATTAAAGCTTCCATACAACTTAATAGCAAATCTGACGTCATTTATACTCGTCAGAATTTAATTAGAAATATCTAAAATTTGGTACTTTGTCTTGTGAAAATATAATTAGCGATGTCCCAAATTTACCAAGACATCTAGCTTCAGACATCTGGAAGGTGGTGAAAGGGATTTTATGTTAAAACGGCCTGCCACAGTAAACTCAGATTTGAGTAAGTAGATTTCAGACCCTGAAACTCCGTATTCACACAGTTCCTCCGTGGTTCTCTTGTCCGTGACGGGTTAAAGAAGTGGAGGACCGCCCGGGTCTCGGATGATTTTTCATCCCTACAGGTTGTATGCTGGTTAGGCTCCTTTTTCGCAGGTAAGTGTGAACTTTAACCTCTGGCTGCATGCATGTGACTGAATGCGGATGGATCTTCACGTGTAGAAATTATTCTTGGGGATATAATGTAAAACATTTATAATGATATCAATTTTTATTTAGTTAAAAACATTTTGTGGCAACGAAATCCGGTTATTTCGTGCAGTTCGAAATAACCGCACTGAGGTTACGCGCGTTACGGGAACGCGCATCGCTCGAAACTGTCTCATATTGATGAGATAATGGATTGATACATGACTGAAGAGGCAACTTATGAAAATATTCGTAATTACTGATATGAAACTCATACCAATCATATTTCATATCAATAAGTCAATATTTGGGGAAAATAGACAGGGCACGCAAATTTTGGCAGGCTAATAACTTGCTTTGCCAAAAGATGCGTCCCCCGGCTAACTTGGAGAAATAAGTTAAGAGGGATTTCACTTTTTCTACATACTGACACTTCTCCTCTGAGCTACTAGTATAGATTTCATATTAATAGGACCAAAATTAGGGAAAATAGACCGTGCAGATATTGGCAGGCGCCGAAATCATATTGCCAAAAAACAAAACAAAACATCTCCTATTTTAAAAGACTTAAGAGTGATATACGTACAGGCCCTATATTCTCTGTTCATGCGTTAATCTATTGTGGTGTTAAAAAAAAAGCGAGGAACTGCAAACATAGCGGAGAACATGTTCATCAGACACTGACTAAAACATTCGACTCGTATATGTCTCCATACATATATATGTATATATATATATATATATATATATATATATATATATATATGAAGACGGGGGGTTTTATTTCGCAAATGAATTTAAATAAATATTTACACCTGTATATAAATATCCATACATTATATGTCTTCATACATTTATTTAAATTCATTTGCGAAATAAAACCCACCGTGTTAGGGCTTACATGGTTAAGAAACATGATAATGTTACGAATATCTTTAAAAGTTGACTCTTCTGTCATATATTTCAGTCCGTTTTCTCACGAGACAGTTCAGAGCGATGCGCGCTCCCCCGACAGGGCACGCGCGTGCCCGCTCGGCATAACAACTGCCGAGCAGAATTTAATTTGAAATATCTGATAATTAAATTCTCCGTGACTGCTGTAGAGTAAAAACTGTTATTTTCACACTGTTCATTATCGGTGCCCTTTGAGGACATTTGAGCTGGTTTAGTCTAATCTTCAGTCTCAGATAACTGTCTTCTTTGCTAGCTGTACGTCAGCGCCGCCCTTTTGTTCTGGTCAGAAATAGTTTCTAAAGGAAATATATTTCGTTCCAGGTTTCCACAATCAATAGACTTGCTGACTCAGCACAATAGAATAACAGGTTTTCTTAGAAAGCTTTTTTTCCCTGGCATTTATGAGCCTTTAAGAAATTAGACTGCTGATGCTTCAGAAACTAAACTAACCTGTCTTATTGTATCTTAAATAATTCCGTGCTTCACTTTCGTTTGGTTTTCATTCGTACAACAGAAGCTTTTAATAATCTCTCTCTCTTCTTTTTTTTTTTTTTTTTTTTAAAGTTGTTTGTGAACTGCAGAGCGGATTTATAGACTTTGGAGTTACTGTAAGCCAACCGCTTCCCAGAAAGCGAAAGTAAATTTCTCTGAAGCTTTGTCAGCTGTGTGAAGCTGACACCCCACCCACGTCAAAAACTCCAGCAAATAGTCTGAGTGGTTGGTGCTCCGTTTGTGCAGGTGTGTGCCGTTAAAAATTTCGTTTGTGCAGTTTCAGTTTCTGAAGTATTAAAAGTTGTAATTTTGGCCGATGACGTCACCATCCCCCCCCCATCTTGCTCCAAAACAAACCAAAGTGGACTACTTCATTAGTGCTCCGTTTGTGCCGTTAAATCTACTGCAGCGAAGTTGTTTTCAAGTTGGATATTGGATATTCCTTGTCAGTGGGACATGTAAGCTATTAAAAACTAATCGTACTTTTTAAATGCAAAATTACGTAAAAAATGTAAAAAGATCTAAAATGGGGAAACTATTGAAGAAAAAAAGTAGTAGTATGGAATAAAACCAGGTGTGGACTTTTTTGACGTGGGTGGGGTATCAGCTTCACGTAGCTTGTTTAGCTTTCAAAAAGTGGTGAAGGAAAAAAATCAGTTTCCAAAAACCTCCGCCATCGTACCGGACGTTTGTCAAACATTATACCTCCACCCACTCGGTGTGTTCGTAATCACTTAAATCAGAGGTTCCCAAACTGTGGGGCGCGCCCCCTTGGGGGGGCGCCGTGTCATTGCAGGGGG